TTTGACTTAGTGAACAACAAAACATGGATGTTTGAGATGTCATAAACTGTGATTTTTTTATTGACCGAAAAAAACAAACATACAATAAATCATCTACATCGGCAACCTTTATTCTTGCCAGTGGAGTGAACCACTAAAAGGTGACATTCCAACACAAGCCTGATTGTTTTTATGTTTTTCTCCATAACCTAACCTCTTGTTTTACCTCGTTAGATGAAAGGAAGGTGAGGTTAGGAATTACAACCATCCACCAAGTTGCTGATACATTTTGGAAACTCCTCAAAGTAATTTTCAGATAGCCTTTTTGAGCAGTTGTCGGAAGTCATTACATCACAGGACTGCAGGACAGTTATCAGTTTAGGTGAAAATAAATACACAATTAATTTCTGGCTGTATTCATATGCATTTGAAATTGAAAGTGTGTTGATCATAGAGTTGTGTTATCTGTCATGCTTTAAATACAGTCATTACTGCAAGTTATATCTATTATATCTATATCTAATTTGATCATAACACATATTTTTGGCTTTGGTCATGGTTTTCAGCAATCTCAGATAACAAGGTAAAGAGGTTTACCTGCGATTCTGTGTTCTGACAATAATCATGAGTTGTTCAGCCTGTTTTTCTGCTACAAGAAGTTGTAAAAACTTAAAATTGCAAGTTGTGATTTGGAGACAGTTTGTGAGGCCCTTAGTGTCCACAGCAAATGTCTATCAGTCCAACTTGTTTTGCAACAAATCCAACCGCCTAAGATGTTTGACTTTACTTCGCATGTACAGCACACCTGGGAGATTTGCCATAATGAATACCTGATGTGGTGAAGCAGTTAATTCCGCCTATAAAATAACTCCCTTCCTTCTTCCTGTGGGCCTCGGCTGTTGTTTATCAAACGAGGTAACGTCCTGTCATGTGACCCCTCCTCCCTCCCAGCAACCCACCTGTGTGGACTTTTCTCTTAATCCCTCTCAAGCCCCCTTTTTTCTGCTGTGCGCTTTGAATACTTAGACTACTGAGTGTAACTAATTCTCCCACACAAGGATATTGTCTTCTCCCTATCTCTGCTTTTGTCCTTCCCTTTCAAGCTGGCTATTCACTGATTTCATTAGTTGGTGGTGTGGTGTGAGAGAGAGTTGGCGAGGGGGGGGTTCCAATTAAAAGGCCTTAATAGCCTATTACCATCACCTTAAGTTCAACTCTGTTTTTTTTACAACATGAAACCAGCTAAAGATTAATCACCAGATCAGTGTGGGAGCTTTTAAAAGCCATTCTGTGATTAATACACTGTAATTAGGACTGATGAGTTTGAGCTGCCTTCTACAATAGCAACATAGTGCTATTCCAGTATCACTGGGACAAAACTGTGCTACTTTTGACAGTTTCCTTAATGACAAACCATTTCTGTTATGCAATGACATCAGGTTTAGCCCTAAAGACAATAAACATAATGAATGTTGTTCCTAGTGGGGGTTTAAATTGGGTGTTTAAATTAAATGTGTTTAACAGGCTGCTGTCCCTACACACATGCTGCACAGATCCTGCAGCTGACCAGGGGGCCAGAGGACGAAGACAGTCCCCTGGGATGACCAAACCACCCTTTCTCAGACACCCATTTGTCGTAGCCAGCCCACAGCCTCCTCCTCCTTCTCCCTCCCGATGGATGACCCTGCAACCAGCAGGGGTCAGCTGCGCAGAAGGAGCCCCCCACACCCCAGCCCTCGGTCCGGAGCCGCAGCGTAAATCAGCGGCTGTTCATCGCGGGAACCCTGCCCTGCCCGGGGTCTCAGCCCAGCCTGGCACCATCTGTCCTAGGCCTCTGACGCAGAAGCAGCACTGCCAAGGTGGGTTCCCACTGACCTGCTGCACCCTCCAGGCCATATGGGCCAGACCTGGGGCTGGAGACAGATCCATCATACTGAAGTCTGGACATGGTAGAAGAGACTTGGTGTACATTTACTGTAAATTAACTCTGACAGAGCCGATACAGCGGACAGATAGTAAAGGTGGACAAATTAAAGCAAAGGCGGACAAATAATAAAGGCATTCCTTAATAAAATACAATCCATTACATTGACACCACAAATACACCAACAGCAAGTTGGATCATCACCTTTCTGACAGTGTCTAAAAAAAAAAACCTGGTAAATGTAAGTCAATATTAAACCAAAGCTAATATTCAATGGAGTAATTTTTATTTCAAATTACATTATTAGGTCCATTCATTTGTGTGAGTCATATTGATGTAAAATTTTCAATGATTTACCAAAAAATACAAAACATAAATATCAATTTATGCAGCAGAACTTTATTTTATTTTATTTTATTCTCTCCCCTGTATATAAACAACAGTACAATGCTGCTGATATATGATATATTATAATAATATATTATATACTATCTTTCGCATGAGATATTTTTTCTACAAGGCTGAGTACTTTTACTTATAATAGCTTAAGTACATTTTGCTAATGGTACTTCTACTTATGTAGGATTTCCAACGCGTATTGCTATATTACTGTATTGGTACTTTTATTCAAGCAGTACTTTTTCCACCGCTTGTTTGCCTAAAATACTTGACATTTTAAACCAACCCTATATGTAAAACTACTGTCTCATTATGGAAAAACAGTTCTTAGTTTTGTGATGTACATACTTGTATCACCTTGTGTAAATATACACTTTAATTTGGCTTTTTTTTAAATGATGGATTTAAGTAATACATTCATAAACTGCCATTCTGCTGTTATGCTACTACTTTTTCATTATGCTGACACACCTGAGCAATGACATCTTAACAGACTCTGACATAGTGCCTAACAACTTCACCTGCATGAGAAAACACTAACAATGAGAACTAGAATGATCTAATCATGTAGAAGTACTGTTACTTGACATAAGTACGGTAACTGTGAAAGGGCCGGTGTGGCCTCCTGACTATAACCTACCGATCATCACTCTAAAAGATGGTCTCAAAAATAGTGAAGACGATATTCTCAGACTTCCCTACGAGGTTCAAAAGCTTCTTCCTGATGAGCAGTAATTGCACTGCTGTAGGCCACTCTCAAATTCTTGCCTACAGTAGTTGAGTAGATTACTTTGTCAACCTCTATTTACGTGAAAGCAGCATTACTGATCTTAGAATATACGAGAAACGAGAAAAAGCTAGTCAATTAGAGCACTTGCAATTCCACCTCCAGCCAAAAGAAGTCACAATCTATTAAGGTGACCTGACCGACCCTGTTATTTTGCTGTATAACTGCCACAGACTAAATAGGTGATGTACTACTCACACATGTAAAACAGTCCAACCTTTTAAGTGCAAGACAAGTCTCTGCACTCCACCTCATCACCCTTGACGACTTTTCCCTCTCCATCATAACAGCACCTGGAATTGTGACACGTAAATCTTATCGGCAGAGACAGTCTGCAAGTCCCGGGGCTGTACAGCCCAGCTTATTGCTTTCTCCCACAGCCCCGACCTTGCTTCTTGCCCCCTAAGGCCTGGCTCTAATGGCCGAGCAGGGGTCATAAAGTGGTTGTGTTACTGTTTTCCTTTTTCCAAACCAGTGACACCAGTTGTTCACCCTCCTCATCGGGGCCTTTTGTGAGGCCTGACAGGCTGTCAGTTCCAGGCGGAGGATGATTGTAGAAGACGACACGCATTACCTTGAGGTGACACCACATTCCACTGAAGGCCTGTCTTTATGAGCTAACAATAACTTTGAATAGCTTTGCAGCAAAGCATTAAAAGTTTGCCTCAGTTTGCTGTGCTGTGTGATTGGTATCATCCCTTTATTGTTTTGCTCTGGATATATCTCTTCAAAAAACATCTGAGGCAAATTCATCTTGCAGATTGATGATAATTGGGGTAAAGGATCTCACAGGCCTGATGAGTGATTTTTGGCCGTCATCAGGGTTGAGGGTAGGACAAGAAGACCTTCGCAGTGACACATACAACCCCAAGACAAAAATAGACGCCCACCCACACACCCACACACAGTAAAGAGTGTGTCAGAGCGCAAACTACTGAACATTTTGTACTTTTGTCCTCTGATTTATTCAACCAATCACTGTGAAGATGAAATAATAATCATCTAATAAATAAAACTGAGCAATCATTTACAGAATCATAGGATAATTGTATCAAAGATCTTTGTTGCCGATAATTACAGACTACTTTCGTGTTTTTGTGTCCTGTTTGTTGTTAACTGAAACATTTCATGTTGGATTTTGATTTAATTAAATTATTTTGAGTTGATTAAATATATTGGGTGGTTCAGTTGTGGGATTACTTATGTCATTGTATCACCAGTTTATGTTTTAGGTCAGACTACATGTGTAGTCATAAGAGAAAATGAAAAATGACTGGAAAATTGATGTTTGACTTAAAGGAGAATAATGAAGACATCCTGTTTTCATCAGCCCACTCGCCAAATTCAGTTTGTCATATACTTTGTGTGTATACTGCCCTCATGGGTTGAGTCCGTGGTACTGACATTATCCTCCCACGCGCAGGCATTTCATATAATCAGTTCCATTAGGCATCACTGTCAAACCTCACTAACAAAGATTGTGATATAAATAAGTATAAGTTAAAATATGAACTATTCTAAACTAACATAATGAGGTGAAATTGACATTTAAAACATTTGACAACAGGTCTGTAGAAGCTTACGAGGCTTACAGACTTGGTAAGGGTTACTTGAAGACACCAGAAAGGAATGTATCACATTACCAACATGAGCTCGCTTATTTTTCGAAACAATTAAATGCATTGAAGGCACGAAATGCTTCGCATTCGTGCCTCACTTTGTTGGGGATTCCCTTGCTTTGAGCTTTACAAATATCAGAGGATGCTTTATATATTGAATGTTGAAAAGGGGTTTAAAGGAGAGGTCCCCATTTTTTTGTTTAAAAAGAAATACTCACGTGTCCATACGTTAGGTTGTCGGTCACTGCTGTGCTGATACTGTCCATAAGAAATGATCAGCTATCGAAAACTATTTGTGTATGGGTGAGTTTTTTATTTAGATAAATTTGAAAATACGTGATCCTTTACATACTGCTTCTTAAGACTTGAATGTAATGACACTGCCTCATGTTTCAGTCGAATACAGTTCACAGATTCATATTTCTTGCTGTTACATTCAGTTAGGGTGAAGAACAAATAACTGAATTCAAGTGTTACCCCCACTCACATTTTCATTTGCTAACTGCATATGTAAAGACTTCATCTTTAATACATTTCCTGCCTGGTTAAATAACATTATTTAAAATTTAAATCATGAATCGCAGAAATGTTAAATTTCCATTTTTTGAAGAATTCTGTTTATTTTCATTCACTTGCACAAATGCATCCACTCTTGACCTCGGCCTGAGTAAATACCATTATTGTCCTGGCAAGAAGAGCCCTTCTGACAATAAAATTACTATTACTCCACCAATCTGAAATCACTGAGAGTGCGAGCTATGAGCAGAAGCACTGATGTGGAAAATCCTCACTTTAGCCAAAGGAATTACAGTGTTTCCTCTGTATTGTATTCACTGAACAGTATTTGGCAGCGGTGCAAAATGCCTGCCTACTACCACCTGTAGTATTTAATTGATTGCTTAAATGTATGCTGAAAACAGATAACTGATTTAATGTTTACAATTCATGTTTTACTATGACAGAATAACCATAGAAATAAATTTTTTGCCAAATCCTGACTACCATTAAACTAAGAATGCATAAATAAAAACTGGAAAAATTACACATTAATCTCTCCTACAGCATAGTCCAACAGCAAGAGTACCACTGCTTCACAGTCCAACGCTTCACTCTCGCCCGGCCTTCAGTTTCTCCTCCACTGTGTGATCTCCCTTTGAGCCCCCCATGCAGGGCGGACTCTTTGCCAGGGTGGGGTTGCTCCCCCACTGCTCAGGAGTCTTTGCCTGGATAGCCAGTGCATGAACGCAGCTACTCAACTCCTCCTTCAAAGCCTCATTAACCAGACGGTGGCGCTTTATCAGGGGCAGACCGTCAAACTGGGAGCTGACAACCAGGACACGGAAATGGGATTCAGAGCCAGGGGGGACTGCATGCATGTGGCTTTCATTGTGGACCTCTAAGTGGTCCGGCTTGAGCATGTCGGTCAGTTTGGTTCTGATAGCCCTCTCAACGGGCCGGCTCGGGTCTGGGTCCATGTGTGGTCTGAAGTGGGCCAGAGGCCGGCTTAAGGCAAGACTGGTGGAGATGGGCCGAGCACAGCGGAGGACACTGGGCAGCATCAGAGGTTGTGGCAGGAGACCGCCTATGAAAAGCCAAATGGGTATAAAAACAGGTGACGTGCTGTTTAATGTAATATTCATGTTCAAGCTTTGAGGTATAACACAACCGTAGCTGATTAAAGTTATTCTATGTCTTGTTTTTGATGGGCAGTTTATCAATTCAGAGTTAGTACAAGAGCACAGTTTTTGTGTTGATATCAGCTTGTAAGTATAAATCATTGGTAGGGATGCTTGATACAAATATATGAGAATAGTATCAGTGCCAAAACTGTCTTATTAAGTGGATCAAGTATCAGCCATGACGTGAGCGATCTACATTGCATTCAGTTTCTAATTATAAAATTAATCATAAAAATCTTTCCTTAATTAGTTGTGTTCATTAAGTCACAGCAGCCTGCCGGCTGAGTCTGAGCTACAGCAATCCCTGACCTCATGTTCCTTACATCAATCAAACAATTAATAAGTTATACACAATGAGGTATACGGATTTTAAACTTGGGGAAAAAGGAGCACTGGTATCTTGATTAGTATATGGTATCAGCAGATCCCCTGAGTTGGGGTATTAAAATCAGATTCAGGAAAGAAAAAGCTGGATCAGTGAATCCTGACTCATCGGTCGGAACCTCTTAAGTAGAAAATAATCCTAATAGTCAGGGGTGCTTTAATACATTAGCCTGCTGACCAGTGGTAAAAAAAAGCTCCATATCCAACCATTTATTGCATTTTTAAGCCACAACTGATTACTTTTTTTTTTTTTTTTTTTTTTACAGTCTAATGCAATCCAATACAACAGCCCTGCAATCACATCTATCCTAATGAAGCTTATAATATTGTTGTAAATGTCATAGATGTGTTTATTAAATTCTATGTTTTTAGCACTGAGTTAGTGGCGGTGTTGTACCGACTTGCATTATATACTGAAGTATTTCCACTGTCATGTGAGTGTAAATATGGAAGACAAACCAAAACTAAACATATATCTGAGATACTGTCATCAAAAACTGAACACTGTATACCTCCTCAAGGTAGACACAGAGTGCAGAGGTGTACCTAATAAACTGGTCCCCAATGAGGATAAGGGAAGATTTTATTGATCCCCCTTAGGGTGAATTCAAATTGGCACAGCAGCACATGGGGATATAGTAAATAAAATATATAATATATAAAATAGATTCACTATATATATAGAGTAAAAAAGGGAATATAGTAAGCCTGTGTATATCTGTACATGTGCAATGTTTGATAAAAAACAACTGTGCTTTACAAGAGTCTCAGGGCACAGGTGTGTGTGTGTGTGTGTGTGTGTGTGTGTGTGTGTGTGTGTGTGTGACAGTCGCTAAAACCAGTGCAGTGCCAGTTTTGCCGATAGCTAGCATAGGTAGCTAAACATTAATGGTAAACTTCATTCAATTGCCGAGCTAGCGTTAGCTGTTAGCTTTCATAATAAACATCACCCAATACGTAAGCTGAGGCAATGTAACGGAGTATCACCACCGAGCAGCTACGATAACACATCCATGTGTGTTAACTAATACACGCGAATAAGCGTTAAAGCCAACCTGTAAAGTTAATTTTGCTAACTAGTTACTCACCTTGCAAGTAAAAGTCAGTTGCGTCCCTGCTACCGTTACGCAAACTCACCGGAAGTGCTCTCACGCACACGCTGGGTAGTGTAGTTCTTTACGTGTTGTAGTCCTGTAGGCCTATATAAGGCAGCTGCCGACTTTTAACCATTTGCAGCATGTCTTTTATAGACGTAAAAACAATATTTAGAGACACAAATGAATGACAAAAGGTTGATATTTTTATATTTTTCCACTTGTTTATTCATCATGGTTCTTTGTCCATTGTGATTCCAAAGGGTCAGTTGTACAGTACAGTGCAAACCCAATCAAAAATCAACAATGAGAAAATATAAGAAAAAATCATCTCACACACCTTTAAACAGAACTGATGTTGTCACATTTAGGCTAACTATGATTCATAACCGGTATTTAACATTGATGTATTTACTTATATTTCATTCTCATTTACAAAATACACAAAATCAAAGACAACATACAGCATTGATCATTTACACTTCATTTTTTTTTATAACTTTTTTTTTTCTATTCATGGTTCCACAAACAGTTTCTATACTTACAAACAATCGACTACAGTTTCTACAGCACAGTACAATGACAAAGGTGATAAATTCTTTGTTACATTTAATCAATGGCAATGCAATCTTATTGACAAAAGCTTCAAGACTTAGGGTTGTTTTAGAGAGTACACACGAATGTTAGCTGTTAAGTCCTGTGTCATTATTAAGTCAACACTCAGCATTTTAGTGGACAAGGCCAGCATATAGTAATGTGCTCCAATTCCCAGTAGCTTCAAAGAAGAGAATAAGAGACAAATACCCAAACACTTATTGCTTTGTTAACTTTTTGCACTCACGATTGACTGTTGCTCAAGCAACAAGTTAATTATACAAAAAAACCCTGTAACATAAGCTAAGATATGTATCTACGAGAGACAATTTTGACTTGGACGGAGCCCGAACTGAGTCACTGAGACAGGTTAGCGCTTTAACAGCTTCCATGTTGAACAAATACAACAGTTATCTTGACATCGTCGTTCTTAATTTCATGGGTGATACTGGACAACATACAGAGAAGAGAATAGGACTGCTTAGCTTTTATATTTGTACAGTTAATGTGCATTTATATACTATCACTGTGCTTTTAAGAGGAAATGTGGGCAAATTTCGCTTTCTCACTTGCTGGCCATTTTGGCTTCTGAAACCACAATTTCTTGCAGTTTTAAAACAAAATCACCTGGACTCTTAAAGACAAGTTCTCAGATGAGTTGTGAAAAGTCTTCATCACCATAATCAATCCAGTTCCTCTTGTTTTAATTAATCAATGGCTGAAAACCTCTGTAGTCTGACGACAAATTTCCAGGGGTCAAAAGGTTTGAATAGCTATCTTATTAGATACATTATAAGTACTTTTATTTACATATATTCATATCTATAACAGAGAATTGATGGTGTAATGTGTAAACTCAGGCCATACAAAATATTTGGCAATAATTAATGAGATGGCACACTCATAGATAATGGGTCAGATGTCAAATTTGAAGTTAGATTGGTTTGAGATGGAGGGAGTGAAATGCAAAGGGGCAGGTCATCAAAGCTCAAAGCACCTATGTTCACAACTGCACTCATTGTTCACAATCTTGTCATTTGGTAGGTTTTGGTCTTTGTGCTCTTGCTAAACGCTCACCTTGGTCTTCATTAAATCTCTAGCAAGGCTGCATAAGAACGTGTCTTGAAGAACTCAAGGCATTCACAATTGTGCATGTACGACAGTGTACATTTAGTGCAATGGGATTTATTCATCTGTCTTTGAGTCTACGTATGGCTGCTATCCTACAAAATGGCAGTTTGGACGAAAACTTTTTTGTTAATCTGACATGTTAATGATTGTTTTCTTCTTTTTCCATGCAATTGTGAACATATCACCCTTGCTTTTCTAGATCAGGGGGAATGTGGCAATCATTTTCACCCACACTCTGTGCTGTTACCAATGCGGGATGTACTGTATGACGATCAGCCCTTGGCAGTGAGTTCTCTACGGTGAATCTCATGTTATATCTAGCTACATCTGTATAATAAAGCACAAGTAAACACAAGATCCCAGTGCACTCATGATCCACACCCTCATTAGCACAATAATCCTTTTCAACTGCAATTAATCCTCACTCTTCAACGTGTTACGTGCCCCAAGGACATACACATCCCAAATTAGGAAAATTTAAAATAGAACAACTTTGTTGTACTCCACTACTTTAACCTTAGGTGCAGTATTTTCCAACATTTTTTTTTTTACTCAGATGCTAAACTCTTTCAGGCTGTCTTAATCCAAGAGTAAAAAACAGGTTAAGCATGTGCAGTATGTTATGAAATCATGTTCAGTTATCCATATAAGACAGCTACCACACAACCTTTCACATATCATAATAGTGTTTGCCAAATGTGAAATGGTAAAATACATTTAAAAAAAATCTCAATATTGCACAAAGGTTCAATATTGCACTAAGAAGCACGCTCACATTAATATAAACATTCAGTTCACACAAATAATTATTATAGTTCATCATCTGCCATCTCTTACACACTTAACACAATTTGTGCCTGCACTGAAACCATCAAAACTGAAAGTGTAGGCTTTTCGTGTAATTTCTTTTTAAAAATCCTTTTGATTACCTACTTTTCTTCCACATGTAATAGTATGATTTAAGTCAATAATTTTTGTGAGTGTGCTTTAAGGAGAGTGTGGTAATGGTTATTCAACCTCCGTGGTGGCACTGCTACCAACAGCAGAATAAAACCGCTGTCTTCTGTGGGTAGGAAATGTCAAAATATTACGGTTACTGAAGCCAGACTAATCGATGAGCAAACGCAACTTGTCCAAAATGCTGTTCACATGTTGTACTCTCAATTTCCGTAAATTTACATACATACTTTGTGACATGCATAACACTCTCCAAAACACATTTTATAAGAGACAAACAAACTGTAAGTCTGAGAGGAGAGGTACTAAAAAGGCATTTCTTACAAAGGGATACACAGTATGATTGAAAAAATGGTGATTGAGTGTGATATTCCAAACATTTTCATCAAGTCAAGAAAATGTTAGGGACATTCACACCGGCAAATGGTTGTGCTTAAAATGTACGATTTAACAAACAGCTTCATATTTGTGATGAAATGGCAATCATGACACAGCACAAAATGTTTACTTGGCATGGGAAACATATCCATTAGCTGATTTAAATGATCTCTTGACTGTTTGGAGGTGACCAGAAACAATGTTTTAAAGGGAGAAGGGGCTCGATTGATCTTCACATTCTAAAAACAACAAAAGCAAACCTGGAATGTTCTATAATCTATAAAATGGCAGTTAGTCTGTACATCAACATAAGACCTCAGGAGTAAAAGAATGAGGACATGTCTTTGTTTGAGAGAAAGCCAAGAGAGTTGTGTCTTGGTTTTACCCTGCAAAGTCAAAAACGCTTCAAATCAAGGCATAAAATGTCGTATTTTTGATTCTATGTCCAACAATGTACTCAAGACTTGACAGGTGAGTTGAATTTGCTCAGAAGAATGGAGGTGACTACAGAGAACAATGGCTAGTGGTAATTTCTATGAGTCTATTTGCATGGCTCATTATCAAGAGCCCCCATTCCCTGACCTCCAACCCCAGCTTTAAGTTCTAATATTGGGGGGGACCAAATTTAAATTTACTATGATATTCCAGGGGAATGAAACATCATGCTCTTATTGAACATGATCAAATTTTATTTCTTGCCTCATGTTTTGGCACCAATTCTGAGCAATCATCAACAATTTGTCTCAGCTCAATGGTTATTCAGTCAGTTTATTCATTCTAATGGTTTGTCAAAGCCTCGTTCTTGAAAGCATGGAGAGGTACCTATCAAATAATCACCAATCCCAAATATTTACAGCAAATTTATGTCACTCTTCTGTGTTGTCTTGTCAGTATGTGCACACACTTTATTCTATTATGATGAGGGAGGGGTTAGAGGGTAGGATTTGGAGGACTCTTGAGCTGTTCATTCACAGTGTGGCGAAAACTCTTCTGCCCCCCGGAAAGTTGTTGGCGCCACACTATTGCAGCACCTGACCCCGCGTCTCTGGAAGTTTCAGCGCCAGAAAACTGCCCACCGCAAGCGCCCCCGAGGCAAAGAGGATGGGCACAGCCTTGGTGATACCAACGAACGAGGTAAAGATGCTTATTCCTAAAACAGCCGCTAATTTACAGAGAGCGTTGAGGAAGCCAAATGCAGTGGTTCTGAGGAGAGAGAGGGGACAGATTACAGAGTCAGAGTCAGGCAACCAAAGGAGTAAAGCAACATCATTGCTCTTTTCTTTTTGAGATGACCTGTTAAGGTTAGTTTCAGAACCTTTCTTTCTTTTATTTTTTGTAAAGGCTGCAGGGAAAGCAATGGACCACAAGGTGGAGCTACATCTTTTAAAATTAAAACACAAAAGCTGTTCTCACACTGAATACTGATGAGCAACACAAAAGATACAGGTTTTTGCTTTGGTAAAATGTTTGAATTATGTTGCACACAAATAGTCATATTCTATTTTATATTAGGTTGCATTTCAACAAATGAATCAAAGTAGGATTTATATACTCAGCTATTTAAGGTTGGACCCAAACAAACTAAAAGCACACCCTACTAAACCCATTAGGTGGCAACAAGACAGCTTTATGCTTTACATCACATGCACTACCAATGATTTCCCCCCACAATGTCATCCATCCCTGCAAGCCGGCCAATCATTGCAGGGCAACTCTCATGACATCATTTAATACGTCATTCAGCACCACTGACCGTGTCTTCGCAGTGTCAAGGAGATATCAGGGTATGCCTAAATTGCCTACCTCTTGTCAGAGGGGTAGAGTTCGACAGTCAGCACATCCAGGGCGTTCCAGGAAGCTATGCTGATTCCCCCGAACAGACAGAGCAGAGCAATCATGGCTGACTCGCTGTTTCCAAAGGACAGGAAGAAACAGCTGATGCAAGAGATCACACTGGAGCCCGCTGGAGAAAAAGAGACATGGAGGAAAAGAGTGATATATAAGGAAAGGAAGGAAATTCTGTGTACATGAATTAGCCGCCTGTCCTTTTGAACTGTATTGTAATTAGATCAGACAGTGCATGCTAGCTCTGTCCAAACTCATTTGGCTGCCGTGAAGACAAAACAACATAATGTGGACAAAACTAAATCTTTTTTTAGACTTTAATTCTTCTTCTTCTAAGGATCAATGAGAAACCTGTTTTTCAGATCCTGCTAACATAGTTGTGGAAGCAGATCTTTCAGTCCTCCATTATGGTAATATCATCTACAGTATATGCCTGCCTCTGAAACCTCTGGGTGTCATTTATCACTCTGCAATTAGATTTGTTTTCACTTTTTATGTGAGCTGACCTTGCCTCTGTGTCAGAAGAGAGAATCTTTTATTTTTTTCTAATAGATTATCATTTTATTAATCATCAAGTCCCATCAGGAGGTCTGCAATTTATCATACTTCAGCTCTAAATATAAGCCACCAACCATGGGATTTGTGTAAACAATGCATCATTTGCTGGGGAACATCAAACCTTAGCTGTGAGAAATGTGCCTTGAACACAGAGCCCATGGTTTGTAAGGTAGATGAAAAGTGTTTCTGACTTTTAACGCCCAGTTTTACACTTACGTACAAACTCAACTCCCATTCTAGGGTTCTTTCAATACACATGCTGCTGAGTAATATAGCCCTGCGCTGATTACCTAGCATCCTGAGCCGTCCAATCTTGTCCATGAGCAGCGCAGAGACAATGTTGCCTGGCAACACAGCCAAGGTGCCCAGGAAACTGACAAAGTAGACCATGTAGGCATTGTTCTCATCGCTGACATCACTGAGCAGGCAACCCTCTTTGTTGTGCAGGAAAGTGCTGTTGATGAGCTTGCAGTTGACCAACCTATACTTGAAGAGGTCTGGGGTGAAAGGAGGGGGGCAGGGAGAGGTTGTAGAGGATGTCGAGAGAGAGAGAGAGGAGACAGAAATAGAGCAGGGTTGAAGGGGTCGATTAGCACAATAAGCTTGTTGACAAGGATGGAGAAAAGATGCATACGGTGGCGATTAATCGGATATTAATGTTGCAGAAGGCCCTTTTGCAACTGTAACTATAATCCTTTCAAGTGAAGGCTTTAAATGTGAAACACCTGCAGGAAAGTTTAGTTACCAACATCATGAAAGCAACAAAGTAGAGAGGATGAGAATGAATGAAAGAGGATGTGGGGAGATGCTTACCTCCTATCTTTTACTAAGGCAACATTTCCTTTATTGTGAACACTTAGTGAAAGTAACGCTGTGCTGTTGTTTCATGGTAATGTTTTTCTTAATAATGAATGTTTATTCAAAATGCAAGTATGTATGGCATTCATAAATAATGCAAATCACGATTCATTAACGATTAGAATTTTTATTTATAGATTTATGTATAAAATAGATTTATATATACATTTTTATTTATTTACAGATTATATTTACATTATTTATATAGATTGTATTTGTATTCTTTTGTTTGTGAGAGGAAACCGGAGCACCCGGGGAAAACCCACGTGGACACTGGAGCATTATTAAGCCACAGTGCCACCATATTACCAGGCCACTGCTGTCGGTCATTCGATAAAACACAGTATGACATAGTGATGGATGGTCAAAAGCAGTTGGCCGGCTAGAAATGATTATTAATTAAAAAATATATGAAAGAAAATAAACACATAAATATCAGATTAGCATATTATACAGACACAAGCCGTTCATGCAAGTGTGGGGGAAAGTACCGGGGGTACCGTGGGGGGAACAGCTTCACGATTCCTGTGAATTATAGAGCGAATGCCTAAAGAGATGCTATTCTGCTCTTCCTCTGCTTCTTTCTGTTGTTGGGTGTCATTACCCAGACAATGTAAGCCTTTAGAGCGGCAGTCATTGTAGTGCCACAGCATCCTCAGATTATTGTAGCTTCTGTCCTTTCGGTGTGTCTGTGCCAGTGGTGCTAGGTCTACCTCTACAGGTGACTCATGTAGCACCGGTTCTGGGTTAACGCTGGGTGAACTGGGGGGAATGCGCCCCAATCCGGTTCTGATGAGGCGACCAGCAGTTCTGATGACCCAAGGAACCACAACTAGACCAAGAGTTACAACTGGCATGTCGGCGTACAGTGGAAGTTGTAAAGAAATGATTTCCAATTTTTGATCGTGTGACTCTGCACAAAGGTGGGAGATATCCTGATCGATTGCTAACTGTATCTACTCGGACTGGAGTTGATGATGATATGAGCTTCATGGGGTTGATTTTTGCAGCGGCACACATCAAAGGAGTCCTTTGAAGTGGCAGCTACGTCATGGAAATGACGGTGGGAATGACGTCATGAATGTTCCAAGCGTTTTGCTTTAAAAAATTTAAACAAAAAAAATTGCATTTTTTTAAATGTAAACGTTTATTTTTAAATTCTAATGGCGACACATTTTGCGCCCATTGTTCTCGGTTTCATACATTAGACGCGTCTTTAAATCGAAGGAATTTGCAGCGTTTCCATTCACGCTGATGCCATATAATAAAGTAGGTAATAAAAATTAATAGATAAATAAGCATAAATAACAATAGGTCGGTTTTGGGACAAATCCACCAGTCATATATCATTATACAGAAGATTATAGGCTGTAGTTATGTATTCTTTATTGTAAGGAATATTGTATTTAGGCTGTGCGGTCAGCACCATGGACAGAGCTTGGATTTCACATCTAAGCTGTACTGTAGCTTTTATGTAAAGGGCTGCATCTGTGTATGATATGTTTTTATGCTTCAGATAATAGAGGTGTATAAGACAAACAGTCTAGATGTGATAAACGCATATATGTTTGAAACTTACTTCGTGTGAAACGCTCCTCGCGTTATTACGGTGTTCGCTGCAGTGAAGGAGCGACGCTTAAGGATGGACAAAGTGTGAAGTAGCGCCACTGTAGGCCTACAGTAAAACTTCCTGCCCCACTGAAGAGAGTTTGAGATGTAAACTCTCTGCAGGGGGGTGGCCTCCTTTACGCACGCCTAATAAACATCTGTTTGAAATTCATGTGATTCTATAAATGTTGTTTTTTACAACTTAAAACACTGGTAGGAAACTGATAAAAATCTGTTCTGTACATTATGAGTGTTCATTTTGTCCATATTTTAGTGTACAATGAAAATACAATGTAAAGCTAACCCCCTCTTTATAAGTTTTTTGATAAAGAAAAAGTGGTTTATGTGAATGAATGAAAAAAGAGACATCCCAAACAAATACGATCAGTGACCAGTTTATTGCAAACTACCATTTGAGAGGAGCAGGCACAGAAACCCTCAGAATAGAGTGTGTCCCACACAAAATAATAATAACAACAACAATAGTTTGTGTGCTATATGGTGAACTCTTGTCACTATTGTCTCTCACTAATAAGTTGCAAATTGTCACTTTCATTTGGCAGAGAAGTGACCAAGTGATCATTTGGCCTAATAGGATGCATCTACAGTGTCTCAACCAATTTCTAGCAAACTCCACAGGTATTTCATTCTATAAAAATTGTTTCCGGTGTAGAATCAAAGCTCATTATAATCTGCCAAGAGTCACTCTATTGCAGTAAACGTGAATATGAATTATTAATTAATTATTGCAGTGTATTGCAGTAATAACACTATGAGTTGATAAACTGTAACAGGAGGTCACACCTGCACTGCCCAACTGCATTCATCATGTGGTTTGTTCCCATAATGTCGCATTGTGCTAATAAGGTTTACTATGGCAACTATCAGCCTTAAGTTCTGAACAGGGAGCCCCAGAAGAGATAGGGCATTAATAAGCAAACACGTTTCATAATCCCAGTCTAATGAGGAACTCCTGGCTGCCACTGATAGCAGCTGTGAGTGATTGCTTGACGTGTGTGAAGACTGTAAACAACTAACAAAGCCAGCGGAAGGTCTGGCTGAAATACAGTGCCTATTGTGTGCAAGTGCTAGTATGTGTGGACACAGCTGCTGCATCTATAGTGGAAGGTATCCGTTTTCTAAAAATCTACAAAGATACAGTTCCCATCGGCTTTCTACATGTGACATCTTTTGTGTCATTTCGGAGGAGACAAATCAATCGTATAGTTTGGGATGAGAGGCAGCTCAGCAATTTTAAAGCTGAAATGATGAAGGATTCGGTCTGGGTTGCTAGGCGACATTGCAGTTCTTCTGCTATGCTGTATTTGGTGTAGTGCCAATCAGTCAGTGGAGTCAGTGGAGAGGGGAAAAGAAAGTAATTGAGCCATTTTCACAAACAGTTGGAGCTGACTTTGCTGCTCTTTTATACATCAGGAGAAGGAAAGGCGGAAAATATTGCCCACTAAAACTGAGATACAATAGAGCTATATAATATACACTGGTAACTATGTCCTAATGGAATTGATTGCACCATCTTCCATCCATCAGGATACTGAAGTCACACAATCCTTTAACAAGATTGCATTTGTAAACATTACAGACAAAGGAGTGAAACTGTGCCAATATCTCTTCTTTAAAGAAAGTTATTTATAAGGAGCTCCTTTAAAGCACTATAAATAGCAGACAGAATAAGGGCAGAGAGAGAGAGAGAGAGAGAGGGGAAAGACAAGATGACATTTATAGTGTGTGCTTGTTTATTAGCACAGGTTCAATGCACAACCTACTCCACATTTTGATTTTCAAAATCCAGTTTATTCACTTTTTTAAGGGATGACTTGAATTTCAAGTCGAAGAAATCGACATCAAAGTTGTACAAAAGAGTGTTTTCTGAAAATATCTGTGGACAGGATTCCCTAACTTCATGACCTCTCCCTGAAAGAGACTGAGGGGAGGAGACATGCAGCCAGTCTTCTGTCCTCCTCTGTTTGTTTGCTTGCTCTTGGTTTCTTTCCCAGCACCATACCATATCATCGTAGTGTTAATGGTGAGCCATTAGGCAGATCAGATGACTCTCATTATATCATTTTTATTGTTTTAAGGGTGTGTCCACTGGATCGCAGACACTATCGATGTTTCTGCTACAAAGCTGAAAGTTGATGTCATACAGCCATGCCCACATTCGTGTCTCATGTGTTAGGTAGAAATAACATTTTTAGTTGCAATTCATGGTTGTGCTCTTCTTTTTGTCCTTGCTTGAGCTGTAACAATTTACTTATAATGTGTTGGTTACCCTAATGTTGTTCACTCATGTAAGGCCAAATTTCCCCTCCTTTTTATTAACCATTATATGGTATCAGTAGGTGTGTGTGTGTGTGTGTGTGTGTGTGTGTGTGTGTGTGTGTGTGTGTGTGTGTGTGTGTGTGTGTTTGTGTGTCCTACCTGTGTTGTAGAATAGGGTGGCAATGAAGGTGCAGTTCTTGAAGAAGGTGTTGCTGGAGGTGATGTCCTCAAAGTAACACTCCTCAAACAGCGAATCCTCAAACACCATAGATCTCAATTTCAGGTTCATAAACCTGCAGGTAATTACAGACAGGGATGATGGAATCAAGTAATGGAGGCAAAGAGATGATGAATAGATGGAACATGGAAGTGGGGAACCGAGGGAAACAAAAGGAAGATGCAAAGAGATGGAGAGAGACAGAGAGAAACAAGGCTCTCAGATATTCTATTACCATATTACTGTTTGAATTTTAACAACTCAAATCACATGCAGAGTTCAGGTTGAAAAGGCAAGGTCAAAGGAAACATCAAAGACGGGCTTGTTAAACATGAACAAGTCTGCAGGGCTTTAATCCAATCAAAGCAATGCTCAGAATAAAACATTTGCTGAAACCTCATTTATTTATTAATCTGTTTTATTGTCATCCACCACAAAGTATATAGAAAGAATACATTATGAATACATTTACCAAGTATTGGAGATGTGTCAAATTTAAAAATCGTAAAATATCCTTGGAATAAAAGGCACCTGACTATCATAAAACCTACAGAAATTCAAAATGCCCTCATATGACAGGCGACACTAACAAGAGGATGTTGCTGACTCACTTGTCATTGAAGTACTCTCCCTGGCGGTGGACCTGGTTTTCCAGGGTGAAGTTAAAGGTGACGTGTTCTACTTTCTCCTTGACAAAAACCTTGGTGCGTGAGGAGTACTCCTGCTTCTGCATGTACTTGATCATGTCGGGGAACCACACTGTCAGACCGTAGTAGCTGGTAGACGAGGAGGAGGAGAGAAAATGAGTGTGTTGCGGTCTCAGGAAAGATAAATAAACAGTAATAGGTCTACAGAGAAAACCTGATGTCTTAATTGTAGACAAATGAGTTACTGTTAATGATGTTACTGTGCATGAATACTCCAGGGACACTGATATACTGCATTTGTAACATTTGCCTGTGCTCTATGTCTTATTGCTTGTCTTCTATATATTGGCAACCTAGAAATTCAAGATCATCGTCACTCTGGTCGGATTACCTTTTAACGAATAACGAATAGAGGCGATTTTGTTCACTGGGGCCACCAGAATCAACACAAAATGAAAGTTCCTTGTTGCTGCTCTAGAATCTTAAAAACTTCTTTCCCCACTGTAAGTTTCTAAAGCTCCTATTTTAATCGTTTGTGCTTCTGTTTCTCTTTTGTTTACTTACCAGTATTTCTTCTGACCTACAGAGAGAGATACTCTTGTGTATCAGATATAAAATGTACTATTCGCTCACTGGCCTCATTACTTTGAGTTCTTTGTGTTGCTGTTTCCGTTTTTATGAACAGAATTTGATAAAAGCAGTTTGGAGTAATTACTCATCTGGAAATATGAACCTGAAATGTGCAGCCTGGCCATGTCATTTGGGCAAGAGATAATGTGCTTCCCCTGCATTCAGAGCACCCTCGGCTACCTAACAGCAAGCTGTTAAGCCAACGAACAACAATACAATACTGCTGTGATCAACATTACCCAGCTCTTTTTGGCTGACGCAGTAAATGGATGTCCCTGATTGGTTGAGTAACTGGTAGTGTGTGCTTTAAGTCTCAATGAGACCCAAAAAAAACTGTAGTGGTGGACCGTTCTTTAACCTGATCTTACCTGAAGGACATAGAGAACCACACAGCCATCATCATGTAGGTGGTGCGGCGGTACTCAGGGGAGAAAATAGTCAGGAAATTACTCCACACCTAATGGAACACATGCATGGACAAAGAGAGAAATTATAAATTGTCCAACCAGATAAACAGTTAACACCAGACGTCTCAGAAAACAGGTTTCGTTCTATCATACAAGAAAAAAACACAGGTCCCACAGTCCCTTTCTAGGCATAGAGTAAACAAACTGAGACATCTTCAGCAGCACGAGCTGTGAGACAAACACGTCCTGTCACTAAATACACACCGTCCACAAAGACAAAGAGAATTCGTAAATAAATAAAGCTTGAGCAGAGCAAAGTCTTGCAAATTTTTATTGAGTTTCTTACTGAAGTTTGCTTTCTAATTCCCTTGATTATAATATCTATTTGTGATGCTTCAAATTTTCCTTACAATAAAACAAGTTAGATGAGAAGATTGACACCACTCTCATCTAGAATTCCAGTTATTTTTCATGTAAGAAAGAAAAATTAAGTTACCACATTTTGAATGTGAACTACTTTTAAGAAATGACAAATCTTTGGCAAACTCTCAATTGTATCCCCTTTTATTAAGCTGACGAGTTGTACATGACTGAAATCTACAATATATAGGTCAGGATTAATTCTGAAATTTTTTTTTACACAAGCATGCAGTGTGTGATTCAATGTATAGTTGATATTCCTAAATAAGAAACAGTGAAATAGAAGAACAAACAGGGTTTATCACCTGATGGAAAAGTGTAGAGAGCTTTATCCTCCATTTCTGATGCCAGGCGGCACCGTCGCCCAGGTCCACCAGCTCATCCATTTGTTTCACAGTTTTGATGGTAGTCACCTGGAGACAACAGCACAACTATTCAGTATTTTGATTTAATTGCTGTGTTTAATGATGGTCAATTGCGTTTCTTCATAGCACTTGTTTCAAAACTTGTTTTTCACAATATTTATTGATATCAACCCAATTTTGCACACAGGCTATTGAAACAATTAGACGTGGCTTTGTGCGTGTGAAAGAATAAAACATGCTTTGATATGTATGTGATATCAAACATACAAAAATGATAATTAATTCATTATAGGATTTTCCATTGCTTCTTCGTCTGTAAACACTTGTTTGAAATATTACAGATAATCAGTAAAATTAATGTTCTTTCTGTATTAGTATTCCCTATTATTCTAATTAATGTATACATGTCTGTAAATCTGTACAACAAAATATATCTCTCCCATGTGGGTACACAACCCTTAAAACAATAAAAATGATATAATGAGAGTCATCTGATCTGCCTAATGGCTCACCATTAACACTACGATATTAAACAACATGTTATAAAGTATTTATATCACCATATTTCACTAAACTATTAATATGAACTGTGTGGATTGAAGCATTAAGAGATTACAATAGTTTAAAGAAAATCTGTTTTAACTTATTAATATGCAAATGTATGCGTCCCAGAGCTCGAAACCTGCTGCACTGCACTAGCCTACAGACAGACACACAAGCGTTGTGTGAAGACATTTCTTCCTGCATACAGACAATAGTGACAATACGATTACTGGGTGTGACTTACAGAGAAGACCCTCTCTGGGTAGCCCTTCGCCCTCATGTTGGTGTCATGGACCTGCTTCAGAATCATCCACGCCTCGTCGTGTTTCCCATTCTGGAGGAGAAAAACAAAGAACTTAAACCCACAGCAGGGAGGGTGAAAGGTTACCAACATGTGATGAGTCACTCTCAATAATTCAACATGTCTTTACAGCTTGCTATAGTTTGTGAAGCCTCTGTTTTTTTCTGGTTAGTGATGTGGTGTAAGACTGAGTTATGTTTTGATCATTAAGCAGCAACTTTGTAAAACGGCATGAAATGAGTGCCAAACACCACAAAACTTTGACACATTTGGGAGAATTAGATGTTGAAAATAAATATTGAACAGCCAATTAAGGGAATTGTTTTCAGGATATAAAAAGCTTTGCTTCTATTTTAATACAACACATTAATTTTATTCAGCAATTAGTGTTTCACATGCACACACTGGTGCATATGTGGGTTAAGTGTCCACATTTTGGAAAATACACGTATTTGCTTTCTTATCAAGAGTTAGATGAGAATATTGATACTGTACCACACAAATATGAATCTAGCAGTCAGTTAGCATAGTGTAGCAGAGATAGGCTACTGGAAACAAGGGAAACAGTTAGCCTTCCTGGCTCTGTACAAAAGCAAGACAATCTGCCTACCAGCACTTCTAAATTTCACTAAGTAACATGTTATATCTCATTTGTTTAATAAAACAAGATATATATTTATATATAGCTGGATTTTGTTACCTTTGGACTGAGCTGGTTCCCCCTGTTTCTAGTCTTTATGCTAAGCTAAGATAACCTGCTTGTGGCTGTAGCTTCATATTTACCCTACATACAGAAGAGATGTATCAGTCTTCTCAAACATTTTAACTACTCCTTCTCAAAGGCTCAAAGACATATCATTCTTATGCACAGATTAGTCCAATTACATTATGAGATTTAAAGCAGTGATCTTGCAATAAAAACCTAGACTAAATTAAACATATAATGCACTTTTATGTGGAAATGTTCAAAAATGTACTATTTCATACAAATTTGCAGTTTTTTTTCTCTGTATCTCTGCAACCAGCTGCTGATGTCAGTGAGTATCAAAGGAAGTGTGGGTGGGTGACAGGGGTCTTAAAACATCAAAGTTAAACCAAAAAATAAAAATCATGCAGGAACATTCGGTAAAATACAACAGAAATAAGAGTTTCTGTTTGTATAAACCAGTGAATACATAAATAAATTAAAATATATCTGTGGTTTTGACAGCTAAAAGTGGCTTAGTAGCACATAAACAGACTGTGGGGGATATGGGGATGGTAATTATCTTGCTGCAAAAATATCGACCGCACTAGATGTCATACTGTATACTCGCTGTGAAAGATTCCTTCGTGAGTTGAACATTTCAAAAACTATCAAAAAGAATGAAATTAAAAAATCTTGTATTTTCTGTTCATTTTTTAGTGTGTCAGTATTCAAGACACAGTGAATAAAAAGCACCTTGTTTTGCCTGCTCCAGTATGTATATATGTACATCTATTTATTTATTTATTCAAAATATTCTGGAAAAGTGTGTAAGCAGCACTTTGTCTGCAGCACAACATCTTCCACTTGGCAAGTGCATGGATCCATTCTTTTTTCAAGGCTGTTTATGCAGTCAAGAAGGCAAAGTATTTTCAACTCATATTTCCACAAGGACTGAGTGGCAAGAGCTGACAGGCTGACCTCCAGGTAGAAGCGGGGGCTCTCAGGCATGGTGGTGAGGGCAGAGATGGCCGCCACAGAGGGTAGGGCACACACCAACACAAAGACACGCCAGCTGTGGAACTGATAGGCCGAGCCCATTTGGAAACTCCAGCCTAATTGAGGAGATAGAGAAAGGCGGTGTCAGAGAGAACAAGAGCTAAGAGGCTGCAAGACTCCTCTTTTGATGCTGTAATGCTCTGGTTTCATGCAGGGATTGAAAACTGCATTGCAGTGACTTTATCATATGTGCACCATTTTATTTAGCCAGGTTTCTCTCCTTTTGCCAATATTTTATAACTGTACATTATGCAGGTCAAAAATCTGGAAAAGAGGCTTGACACAAATAGGAAGTTATTACAACAGAAATAATATGCACTCCATTCAAAATATTCAGACTTTGTCAGAACACTGTACAGATTTGGCTTTGTGTAGTCATTAAATATGATCACAGCTATGTTACAATGTGTCATCAATCCTGATGTACAGATGTTTCATGAGTTATGTAGGAAGTTAGAATTGTTAACAAATACTTTAACAGACAATTGAAATATATATCAGCTTTCAGAGATATCAGTTACTGGATCAACAATGAAACTAAGATGTCTTATAGCCCCAGACAAGACAGCTGTAATGAAAATAATTGATTGCCTAGCCTTGAAACATCTACAGTAAACATATATGCTTAAGACCACAGACTCTCTCTGGATGAAGGCTCTGTAGCAGGATCATGTATGTAAAGAAGCTCATTACACAGCTTTTCCTTCTGCTATACTATTTGTATAGCTGCTGAAAACATTCAGTCTGGTATTTTCAAAAACTCCTCTAAGCGAAGCATGAGCTGCAGTAAACTTGCAATTTTATACCACTAACACACACTGTTAGTAGAAATGCTGAAACCACTGATCAAATAAGTTCTGATTATACCTAACCTTATTAAGATAGCTGCTGGTGACTAAAGTAAACAAGATGAAAATTAAGGTAATTCTTGTTTTGCAACCCACTCAAACACAGCTGAAAATCTCTGAACCCTGAGAGCCACTAATGTAGTTGTTCCACAGTGAAGCATCAAAAGGCAGTGGTGGAATAAGTATCGAATAGTATCTCTTCCTTATATTATATATTGTATTTATTACTACTTATTATGATTAGGGCCAATCAAAATAAGACTGGGTTGATTAGCCTGTAAAATGCATTATATTTTTTATAAAACAGATGTTCATCTGTAACTTGTTGTGTAATAAATCTATGTATCTGTATATAAATATTGCCATCTGAAATTTAGTGAAGTGGAAGTATAAAATAGGATAATATGTAAAAGTAACTCAAAACTGTAATTAGAAAAAGTCTTAACTAAATATAGTTAGTTAGATTCCACCCCTGTCCAATGCAAATGATCAAATGATTTTGTGGTAAAAAATAAAATGGTTAAAGTAACAGGCTGTTTAGCTGGTTGACTAACACACTAACTACATATTGTCTGAAATAATGATTTCCTGACTGAGTGATCTGTTTGTTTTTCTCACCATAGTGTGGGATGATGGCCCAGGCCATGGCGGAGGCGTAGATCCCACCGATCATCCAGAACATGCAGAGCCAGCTCAGATGCTCTCCTCGTTTCTCCTGGGCCAGAAACTCAGAGTAATAGGAAAACACGATGGGGATGGAGCCGCCAATACTGTGGAGTAAAGAGGGAGGCAGGAATGTAAATGGGAAGACAATTAAAAGAAGAGCAGGAGGAAAGATCCATGTGGAGTAGAAGCAAATGGTGGGTGAGATAAGAAAAAGGAGAAAGAACAGAGGAAAGACAAAAGCAAGAAAGATGACAATGTTCATTTAAAAGATAGCAAAAAGAAGAAGAAAATAAAGTCGGTAATGTTATGAAGAAAGAAAAGAGTGGAGAGAAAAACAATATAACAAAGGGATGAAAGAAGGCAAGGCAGAAAGACAAAACACAATTAATTAAAAGACAAGAAAGAAAAGAAAAACAGCAGGAAAGAGAGTGAGACATGAAAGATAATTGAGCAGCTTTGTAGTTGATTAAGAGCAAAGCTTCAAGTCTTAAAAGCCACCATTAATGGCAGAGCCGACTGCAATCGATAGCACCATCTTTATGGCCGCTGTACATGTTCCATCACAACAATTTACAATCTGATGGGAACTGATGCCGGGAACACATTCAGACTCAGGGCGCTCTGCCGTCAAACAAGGGCAGTGTAGTTAATATAATGAGTCAATCTGGAAAAAGTTCATCACACTGCAAATGGCAGCAATATCCATGATGAATGGGCCACTATGCACATTTCAGCAGAATAACAGAGACCTCACCGTTTTACAGTCTGCAGATTCTTTTTAATTGTGCAAAGGCAGGGAGGGAAGAGCAGTCATTGCCAAGTTGGGTTCAAATCTAAATTATAATATCTTAAATATTACTGAGAAGAATCTACAGCTGCAGAACAGTACTCAAACACAGCAGCTAAATGCAACAATCGCATGCTAACCTGTTCACAATGGCAATGCTAACATGCAGATATTAAACAGGTAATGTTTACCTTATTCAACATCTTAATTTTGCTAACATTCGCTAATTTGCCTACACACAGTACAAGCTGAGGCTGATAGAAATGTCTTTTTGCAGGTATTTGGTTTAAACCAAAGTTACAGGACCGACTAACAATGCCATCCCTAAAGCTACAGCTGCCATGTTGCACACTAAAATTAGGAGTAAATATTGCACTTGATAGAAAAATAACAACTGTATTCTGGGCCGGCTTTGTTTATTTTATTCCTTTGCATAACTTCCAAAACCAAAACCTAGACAACATGATGACATATAGAAATATTTTTAGTGTAGCTGAAACTAGATAAGCTAATATTTACCTATACTGTATTTAAAACATCTTAAACCTTGTGAAGGTCAGACCCTGACAATCAGAGCCACCATTTCACTGACATTTTACCATTGCCACCAGCATTTAACAACACAGGCAGGGATAACCTTAAGAGATCAGAGTCCGAGGAATCAACAAATTATGAATTTTAAATAAGGAGTGTGACAGTAGCTACATTGACTTTGCACCAACTTAAAGTAAAAACAGTTAGTTCAGTCTCACTGTGTGAAGGTTGTTGACTGAAGTGAATGAAATTACTAGTGCAAGTCAACAAAACAGAACATCGAAAAGCACAATCCAACACTTATCCAATAGCCAAGTATCTGATGATATAAGTGTTTTTATCTGTCCTCTGACATGCGGCATTGCTGTCAAGTCAACTGATGTACCACAGTGGTCGTGACTTTCTCATTTATCCAGCCGTGGCTTCTGTGTGTGTGACTCATCTGTCTCCTTACCCCACACCAGAGGCCAAGCGGCAGAAGAGGAAGGAGACGTAGCCCTGGACAAAGGACGAGAAGAAGGCAAACACGCTGTTGATGGAGAGGGAGATTAGGAGGGTCTGCCGTCGGCCGATCCGATCAGCCAGGCCACCCCACACGAAGGCCCCGACCATCATCCCCAGGTACACGATCAAACCTGATGGAGGAAGAGGGGAAACAAAGACATGGGAAGAGGGAAGAGTTGGTGTTTAAGAAAGAGGAGATAAGAGAATAATGGCAGGGGAATAGAAAATGATGGAGGGAAGAGAGACAGAGGACATGATAATGAGGTATTATTCATCAGTAAACTCATTGATATAACTTCCAGCCCTCACTTCCACTCAGTGCCCAGTAAATTAGCCCATGTGTTAGCCTTATTGGACTACTGAAGTATTTTGCATAAAGTACAAAACACAGAGAGAGAAGTACAGCATAATCATCTGAACCACATACAACCACAGCAGAAGGGTCAATATTATTACAGTTTCACGTAGTTTTACAAAGTGATTCACATGAGAAAAAACACATAATAGAAATAATTTGGACTGTAAAAAGAAGAAGAAGTTAAAGATCGATACGATTCATGTCTCATGATGGAGCGCCCTGTAGAAACTCAGGATCAGTGAGATATAAGGTGTGATTATGTGTTAATTAGTGAACTTTAGAGGTGCTTGTAAGCAGATTTTTGAGTTTTGGACAGAGCCAGACAAGCTGCTACCCCAAGCAGCAACCTCTGTAACTGACAAATTAAGCCAGCGTGGAAGTAACAAAAACTGCAGTTCCTCAAATGGCCACTTGAGGCTGGCTATAGAAGTGAGTCAATCTCCATAAAGCCCTATATGAAAATGCTCAACCCGTTTTTGGATTAATTGGGAGCTAGTGGAGTCCAGACTGTCAAGATGGTGACGGACGGAGCTGACCACACTGAGTTTTATGACAGCTCTTCAGAAACATATGGGTAACGCCATAGAGACTACAGACTATGCTATTAGTCTAAGCTAATCGCCTACTGCCCTATGCAGCAACACAAAAGTGGTATCAATCTCGGAAGAAGAGGTGTATTTTCCAAAATCTAACTCTGTCAGCAACATAGTAAGATTGAAATCAAAGATAACTCCTAAAATGTTACAACATGTAAGCAACCTTTAACCTTTAACCATGAACTTCTGCATTATGATTTTTCGTACCATAAACATATTTATGCGGCAGTATCATCTCAGTTGACACAGTATAGACTGTGAATATCTTGGGAAAAGCCAGTGCCTTCCTTCCTGCATCAGGAAGTCACTGCCAGGGAGCAGACAGGCTGATAACAGAAACAAACATCACCTTTGTCAAACCAGTCTTGTGACTTGAGGTGCTAACATGACTCACATCCCATGCACTTATCCAAACACTTCTCTCTGTCTGTCTAGCTTTCTCTCTCCCTCTTTAGCAATGAAGATGCTCCAACACACATACACCCACACACACACACACACACACCAGTTGCTCGCTTGAAATCGCTGCCTTATTGACATCCTATCAACAGTTTTCACACTGCCTGAGCCTGCAGTGACAAGTTATTGGTGAGATCACTCTGAATGAATAAGGAGGAAAAAGGCCAGTGTGCAGTTCCTGGTCTTGACATCCGCGTTTAAATGTAATTCTCAGTTTTCTGTATGTAAAATGCTAGTTATCTTACATCTATGCTGTATTATTTTGGGCAAATTAAACCCAGTGTGTCCGGCATGAAGTATCTCCAATGAACCCTAGCACTTTGTGAAATACTCCATTCTGATCGGACAATCAACACAGTCCTTATTCACAGCCAGTCAAACTGAATCAGAGCCTTCAAGTTGATTTTATTGATTTTAGATCAATTTAACTGACAAGAAATTATCAATTTGTCAAAACAATCTCAAATCAAGGTCCACTTGTTCAAGAGCTTTCAACCATATCTCAGCTGAGATTGTTTTGTAAAACTTAACTTTGAAGCCAACATGCATTAGAAGTCCTCAAAGTGTACAGACTAACCGAAAGTTGATGATCATGTTCAATCTTTTTACATCCAATGCAAGTTCTTCTACAAGTGACTGTCCTCCCAAGAAGAATGACAGCATCAGGCATGGATGGGTCACTAACAAATCTAACTTTTACTAAAGAGACTGCTGTTCATTTCCTGTTGCCAACCAATGTTGTTTTTTTAAAGCATGACCAAGATTGTTCCCCAGCCTTAAACCACATGGTGCCACTGGAGCCATGACGACAACCATCCCCGAACCTTAATGTAGCCATTTCAACCCAAACCACGACCTTTCCCTAAACCTAAACAAGTTGTTTTAGTGCCTAACCCTAACCAAACCATAGTGTTGTCAAGTCATAAGGGATGTGATACAGCTCTGGAACAAGTAAGTAAGTGGATCTTGAATTTAAATTGTCTTGCCAACTGCTGTTGACTCAAGACAACAAAGAAGTTTGTCTGGTGGGTGGAAGCTGATTGTCATTTCATTTCATGGCAGATTTATGATTAAAAGGGCAAAATAAGGAGAAAAGAAAAGACCAGCTTGCTGTACACTGCTTTTTACCCCCAAGCACCAACAATCAAAAAGACTTTGAGAGAAAATGAGAGTTGATTGTTTCTCCAACCAATGGAAATCACAGCACAACAGCTCCTAGGGTTTGTTGCAAATTACATGAAATCAGCCCTGGCTTTATAGTGCAAAATGGTGTGAATGAGTCAGCCAGATGAGCCAGACAGCATGGGGTCAATTATGCAAGAAAACAGAACGAGACGCCTACATAGGCTTTACACTGATCTGTTGTATCCTCTAAGATAATCTATCACACTGTCCAAACAAGATAACTGCTTGGATGATAAAGTTGGACGCAGATAGTATTACACTAGAATACTGAGGGAGAAAAAGACAAGTTTATGACGGATGTTCTTGACTTGGAATAATGGGAAGACGGGTGTATTTTTTTTTAGAAGAAAGGACCTTTAAAGGCATTGATAAAAGTGTGCCTGTGTGTGTGTGACTCATTCCCTGTCTGTCCTCTTTCTGTCTCTCTGTGTATTTCTGTATAAACACTGCAGTGCTGAATGAGGAAGAAGGTGACTTTCACTCCATTGTTTGATTGATTGCAGGGGATTCTTTGTGTGCATTTGCTGGCGTGTTTCCATGATCCCAGGTGTGTCTGTGTTTGTGTGTGCGTGTGTGTGTGTGTGTGCGCGTGTGTGCGTGTGTGTGGGTGTGTGTGTGTGTGTGTGTGTGTGTGTGTGTGTGTGTGTGTCATAGAAAGTCAGTGTGCAGTCCCTCATCTGCATGTGTGAACTCCTGTGAGCGTTTTTGTGTCAATATTCCCATTTTGTAATATACTGTAAGTGTGTTCTCCTACTTTGTCTGTGTGTGGGTGGTGTGTGTGTGTGTGTGTGTGTGTGTGTGTGTGTGTGTGTGTGTGTGTGTGTGTGTGTGTGTGTGTGTGTGCTTATCTGCATGTGTTTCACCCTGCGGGGCAGAGAGACAGCTGCGAGCCGCTTCTCCTGACAATACAGCTCATAGCGGCAACAAGGAGCCAGTGATTATGACTGGGCTCAATAGCCGTCGCCGCAATGCAGCAGCATCGAGGTTGACAGACAGACAGATAGACAACCACAGTTACCAGGATGGGCCATACAGTAAGTATCTTTCCTAAGCCTCCCTATAAGCTGAAGCCTGGGTATCTGAGTTCTGTGCTGACCCGTCACCCTTTTCAGCACTCAACTGCAACAAGATCACTATCTCTCCCCCTCTATCTGTATCTGTCGTCACATTCGGCCGGCTCAGGTTGGTCTGTGTTATCTGTGTGGATAGAGTGCATTAGCAGCTGCATTCAGCTCAAGGATAAATTACGTCCCAATTGATCTCATTCATCTGAGAAGATAAATAATTGATTAGGAGTCTAACTTAAGTGCAAAATCTGACCAAATGCCAAATCTTGTTGTCATCAATATACAAAGGCAAAGCAGTTTGGCCAGTAAATAACAGCAATTAAGACTATTACAGAGAGTGATGAAAGCCTGAGTGTGTGAGTTTATCTTTATCAGAACGTTACAAAGAGAGTACATGTTTTCACAGATGTCCCCTATAGGCACCTAATAGTCTTTCTTGAGGCCGTATTTATAGACCTACCTAATGATCCACCATACAAGTACAAAGCTGTACCTGATCTAAAAATCAAATTTGTACCAATTCAGCCTGAACTAAAGGTTAAGCTACTTATGGTGGCTATAGTCAATATTTTTACATCAATTATGTGACTACTTGTATGTGAAACAAGATGCTTGTGGTGATCAACCCACAAAGAATTATCACCTAACTCTTAAGTTCCCCTCAAATTGTATTTACGACACACAGCTTTACTGTTTTGGTTCACTTAAGCTCACTATATACTACCTGCCCAACAGCAGAAGGAAAATTTAGCAACTAGCTGTTGAAAATCTTGGAACTTTTAGCAGCTTAAGTGCCAGATATTTCCCTCAGGATTTAGTGGAGAGCTAAAGAGATAAAGAATATTAGTCTTACATTTGCCAGGTGGCCAGAAGCACAGCTTCAAATATAAACTAATGTAGTTCTGTAACTGCTGGATGTGTAAATACGTTTGCCAGATCAATTTAAAAGGTAAAATAATGTCAATGTTGTGTTAAGACCTTGTTTCTGCTGCGCCTACGTAGCCAAAACATCAGTTGACACCCTGGTCTAATACTCAGTAGCAGTGTTGGCAGGTGGGAAGCTGGTGAGGGATCTCTGTACTGGTTGTTCAGTTCGCTGACCACTCAAATATGGGAGTTACCACTAAAAACTGCAGGTGCAGAAACACATTAAGTTGATTTTGTGGTAAATCGTAAGATTTTATCTCTGTTTTTTGTTTTTTTTTTTGGTGACCAGTGCTACATCATTTATTTCTTCTTTCAACTTTCGAAGAACTGCAAGAAAGGTTACCTAGACTTGAATCATCTCAGCTTTTAATAATGCAGCAGTAGTAAGCTACTAGTCATTCATTCATGTTATATTTATTGGATAGTTTCACACCTTAAATAATGCATTTCATTGAGTTAAATAATTTTCCTTTAGGTGTAGTTTGGTAGTAATGTGGTTTCTATTCAAAATCTTTTGATATTAGATGTTTTTAAGGCCC